AATTCCATCATTTCCCATCAAAAAAAAAAAAAAAAACCCACCCAAAGACCTTTTTTTTTTTTTTTTAAAAAAAAAAACAGAATTGGTGAAATGGGAAACCATACCAGGACAGCCCCGATAGGCAAGGACAGAGGGAAAACTGGACCGAGTATCAGCAAAATCAGTCGAACCAGAGGCGATCAATACAACTTCGGAGAAGGTCAATGTATTAGACCTAGAATGGTGATGGTTCCACCAGATCCAGCAGAGAGTAGCCGGAGGAAATTGACCTTGGCCTTGAGGTCCTCGATCTCGAGCTTGAGCTCCTCCTTCGTCTCGCTGGCCTCCTCGTAGCACTCCATGTACGTGTCGACATCATGTGCCCTATACTCCTCCTTGGAAGAAAGGCATTTCGTCTTTCCCCTCCTCGCAACGGATCCGTTTTCGTCTTCCTCCTCGTCGCCAAAGTCTGTGTCGGAGACCGATGGAAATCGAGACCGGTCAAACTAACAGAAAACATTCATTTGGACTTCAGTTGCGATAATTTGAAAGGTTTGGTATCGTGGATGGCACAAATAAAAGGTTTGAACAAAGTTTGCTACTTAATGAATAGTTTGGTACCGCTGTTGCAATTATCCCTAAATTGAATGTACTCTTGGTCAACACTCAAATAAATTTCCTCAAAATTAATTATTTGCAATAATGATGCATTTAATTGACTTGAAAAAGTCCCAAAAGGTAGTAGTACCTATCCCAATAAAGTAGACGACTCTAATCGAGTCTACTATCTCGCAATTGAAAAATGCTACTTGGCCAGGGCAGAGACCAGACTTAAAAACAGGGATTCAAATTTTCATTACGTGTCAACTATTTTCTTTCTCTTCTTTTTGGAGGGAAACCCACTTTTACAACAAAAACTCTCCCTGGCACCCAATTTCCCCCAAATTTGTGTGCTAAAGAAATCTGTGCACGGTGCACCAATTTCCTCTGAGAAAGAAATCTTTGTTAGAAGACATAACTCCCACATCTCGAATTCCGACTGTTCGAAGGAGCACGGGTTATTGACCTTCATTTTCAGCGATTCCGATTTCGTCCTCTCCGATTTCTTCCCGTTGTTGAGAGCTCTTGGTAAATCAATGGCTTAGAGGAGGCATCCAGTGGCTATGTCCTCGAGAGTAAGGACTTTCTTGGCTGCCTGCCTTGTTTCCTTCTACTTGACTTGTTTAATAACTCATTTGAAACCTCTACAGATTTTATTTTTATGTTGGCTGCCTGTCTTCCTGCTTCAACATTGCTGAATTCTGCTTCCCTGATCTTGGTACTCGTGATTGATGGTCGATATAGCATCTTCCTTGTAAGGTGATAATAATTGCTGTTATTGCCATGCCAAGAAAAGAACTGGACATTAAATTCCTTTCGAAAATAGTTCCTTCTATCATCTTGAGGAACCACATCAGTATGCCAGGTCTCTGAAAACCCAAGAAAGTAGGATATTAGCCTTAACCAGATTATACAATTTCTAACTAAAAATTAACTTAAAAAAGGTTGAAAACTTGGGAGAAGTTTCGAATATGAAAAAGTAATCGGACTTTGATTCCACTTAGACTTAGTACTCTTCAATTCAAATAATTACTTAATTGATGGTATTTGTTTTATGTTGATGGCTGATGTCACTATTTTTGTTTAACAATCTATCAAATGATATTGAAATATATTTTTGTTTATGAACTTCCTATATCTCTATGAAATTTGTAAATTCACAGCATTTCCATCTCTGGATTCTGTACAGAAAAAGGTGGAAATAATTAGAGTTTATTTGTAGAAATTTTTGGACATTCAATCATGTAATATGACTGAAAACAGATATGCCCTTTTAGCCCTTTTAATATGTACTTATAAATACAATTTAAGTTGTTACACGGGATAAATATTGTAAGATGACATTGAATGTTGAGAAGGCTTGAGTCCACAAGTTCAATTCATATCCTAACTGTAACTTACATGAATTCCATTTTCCAGTTGTTTGTTGGTTTGTGTTTGAAGTTGCTCCTTGTCATAGGTGAATTCCATCTTATCTAATCAAAGGTTTTTGCAATTGTTTGTTGGTTTGAAGTTGCTCCTTTAATGGTAACAGATTACGGTTTGTGCCCTTCCCTCATTAATCCTTCATCCCTCCCTCCCCCCGCATCGGCCTTTATGCATTTTTGTGATTATGTTGCAGACTGGAGGCAGCAGTGTTCTGATATCTCCTCTAGTTGACATCTTCGATGAAGAAAAACCAAGTGGAGCCATTTTGATGTTTAATGTAATTATCTATTGGACAAAGGCATTTGCCTATAATTAGCTATAGCAAGTGATAGCAGTGACTCCATTTTGATGTAATTTCTCGTTGACATTATCTATAGCAAGTGATAGTACTTAACCTATTTTCATGTAATTCCTATTTGAAATTATCCATTGCAAGTGAATGAGTGCAGTAACCCATTTTGATGTAATTCATATTAGCATAAGAAACTGGTAAAAGATACATTGCCGTTAAAACATTATCAAATGGGATAATGAACAACAACAAACTGACATTAGCATAAGAAAATGGTAAAAGTTACATTGTTTTCAACCATAATCCGCTAACTACATACTTCACTCATACGAACAACATAAAAATAAAACCCTTAGATAAGTTTGTGCATAACACGTTCAACTAATAGGAGCTCAGAATCAATTCGGCCCTTTCCTTTTGCAACCCCTTCTAAGCTTCCTTTGTCCCTGCAGATGATCACGTTGTCTAGTTCTTCAGGTGACACAGATTAAGAATGCACCAATTTAGCTGTCAACAATGAAACACCCAAAACCATAAAGCAGAATTCATATAATTCGCACCAATTTAGCTGCCGGCAAGGAAACACTAAAAAACACAAAACAGATTTCATGTATTTCTCACCAATTTCATATAATGAGCACCAGTTTAGCTACCGAACAGAAACATCCAAAACCACAAAGCAAAATTCACATAATTCTCACCAATTTCATATAATTCGCACCCTTTTTTATTCAGCCGTTCAAGGAAAAAATTCGCAAATATCCAACCTAGATAAGCTATTCACAACTATATTTCAGAACTAAACAATACAGGTTAACGAAACTCATCAATTACAGTACAATGCCAAGCAAAATCAAAAGGCATGTTGCCCCCATTTCATCCACACCATCACACTGGGGAATCAATTTCTGATAAAGTAGAAAACATTCTACCTGGGCAGAGCTGAACGACGATTCACGAAGAAGGCTATGTTGTAAAATTGTTGGAAACCGGTAACGAGAACACGCTGTTGGGCTAAGGAGATAGCGGCAATTTTTTCGGATAACTCCAGAAGCGACGCCTTTCACGCAGGCAACATCGTTCAGAGATGGTGATGGCTTCAACGGCGTTCGGATGTGGTAGGTCGAGCGATACAGCATGTTTTGGCAGTCGTGCGGCGCAGCAAAATTTCAACACCAAGTGTGGCTGGAGATGGTGACTTGTGATTGGGGATATCAATTTCGGGAATCAGCTTGCCGATTTCCAAATGGTGAGTTGTGGGTAGGGTTTCGAATTTGGGGGTGGCTTCTCTTGGCTTCGATTTGGGTTTGTGGTGTTTGGGTTTGCTTCAGTGAATTTTCAATTTTTGTTTTGTTTTTTTTTTTTTTTGAAACATACACTTTCCACGTCATCCTGTTTTTCACTCAGTTTGCAGCACCCTGGACGAGTAGCGCGACTGAAACCCTTTTCACTTTAAAACCCCATTTACACCCACTATAGGTCCGTTGGCAGGCAGAGGAACCAAATTCCAAGAGTTTCTTTTTTCAGTAACGAACTATCAGGTTACTTATCTAGCTATAAAGAGACACTAAAAGATTGTTACCCCTTGTCACACCATAGCACGTTGTTTAAAGCTTTCTGCTAGATTTCTTATAGATTCATTTGATAAGTTTTCACTCATGTCCATTAGGAGAGAAATCGGGTACTTATGTTGTTTCAGGTTTAATGTTTGACAAATGAGATAGACTGTTAGATGTGCAAGAAGGCTGAGATGCAGCTATTGTTTTATTTGATCGCATGGCCAGTGGAGTCAAGGTGTGATGTGAATGTGTTGAATCCATGAAGGATGAATAGTCAGGTAACTACGTGGTTAATGCAATAAAGGAGAATTAATGTTCGTCGAATTTGACATGCCTAAAATGTAAGTCTCCCAATTGAGGATGGGCATTTGTATCAGTTGTGCTTTAGGTTATAACCTAAGCCCGTCTGGGAGCGCTATCTCACTCAAAAAATCGATTTTTTGCACCGTCACGTGGGTCCATGGGTGGATGCAGGGGATGGCCTGGGGGGTCGCGTGACCCCCCAACTTCGCTCCCTTTTTTTTCACCATTACATTTTCTATGTTTATATTTCAATTTTCGAAATCATTATGGGATGTAAAACAAAATCGAAATATTGCATTCTTAATACCATTTCGAAGTACTCATGGTCTAGTTTTCTACATCGTTAATGGCGTAAAAAACGATTAAACGTAGCAAATGTTACGACTTGTCAAAGTAAGCCGTTTGAAATTAGTATTTCGAAAATTCGATAACATGCTAACTTTAAAAATTCTCCGACAATCGTACGCTAATCGAATATACAAATTGCTTATGTCATCTCAAAACTTATTTCGAGAACTACATTATAGGCATATCGAATAGTCCAAACAAATATCGAAAATAGTTAAAACAACGTTAAACGTGCATCTTAAATAAATGTGTCTAACTCGCATTTTTTTGAAAAAAATTCAATTATTTCATTTACATTTTTATTTTTGTGATAAAAATTTCTCAATATAATTTTCATCATTTTATTAGAAAATTTTATATGGAATATGACATCAAAATTTTCGAAATTTTACATCCGAAAAAGTCATATCCCATGTAAATTTTCGGATGCAAAATTACATGGGTATGATTTTTTTGACGTAAATTTTCGATTGTAAAATTTTTTCCAACTTCATTGCAAGTTCGATTATGCCCACTTAACATTAAACTTCTGCGTCTGACCTATCACTCACTGGGTCCCCTTTTAAATTTTTTATGCAATGTTAAGTGTACCATAGTCAAATCATTATTTGAATTTTACTCCCAATGCCTATTTTACCCTTTTTCTATTAAAAATAACAACTAATCCAGGCCTTCGACCACTTTTTTACTACAAAGGGTAATAATGAAAAATTACATGACTTTAATGAATTCAGCCACCTTTTTTGACTATACTTTCTGGGGAACCGTATAGAAATAATGGCATAAAAAATTTAACATGCACATTGGTTTCCATCAAAATCTAATAAAATCCAAAAATAAAATCGATACTAGACGGGCTAAATAGGTACAAGTCTAAGATGTATACTCCATTTTGTGATAGTTGCATGGTCTTGGGCACGGAAAATATGTACACTGATACACTCTAAGGCTGTTATACCAGGTTTAATTGGATAGTCTTTCTAATGGGATCTCTCACTTGAGAGAAAGTGTAGACAATCCATTAAGTAGATATATTGAACCAGAAGAGGCTTCGCCCAAAATGAAGTTAGCATGGTGAGTTTTGACCTTTTTTTTTTAATGAAAAAAATGTAATACGTTGGTCAAAGTAGGGAAAAGGAAAAGTAGGGAAAATTGGAATTGTGCCTTAATTTTATGATTATATTATTTGCAAAATTTTGACATGGACAAACTGTTTAATAATTCGAATAATTCTAATATTTTAAATTAGTGAATGGTGTTTGATATTTTATTTTATTTTATGTTAAAATTTAATATCATTCTTAAAAAAAAATTGATAGTTCTTTTTTTCCTAGTTATTATTGGATTATATTTTTGGGAAGATTACATATTCAAGAGTATAAGTTTAGTCTATTTCAAAAATAAGAACACAAGTTTAAAGTTACCAAAATCAGATTTTTTTTAAACTTTTTTAAAATTTTTATTTATGAAATAATAAATTATTAAATTGATTTATTATTAAACAT